CGGAGTTCCAGAATCTGTGGCAACAACATGGAACTGGAACGTTTTCAGAGTCTCAAAGTCGAAGCTTTTCAGCGCAGATATTTCTCCAGTCTCTGAATTTATATTAAAAAATCCATAATCCTTTAGTGGAGTACTCCGCTCTCTAACTATGCGATAATTTAAAGCTGCGTTTTCATTCAAGTCTTTATCCGAAGCAGAAACAGAAAATATCGGGTTGCCAGGTACATTATTTTCTGCCAGATACAGTTCTAGAGGATTATGTAAAAATTCTGGGACATTATCATTCACGTCGGACACATCAACACTGAGCGTTCTGAAAGTGGACAGGGGAGGCTGACCACAGTCCGCGGCTGTTATCGTGATGTCATAATGGGAAACTGACTCTCGATCCAAACGTGATTTTACAACTAAAGAGTACATGTTTTCTTGAAATGATGGTTTTAATTCAAATGGTACATCATCTGGAAGACTGCATATCACTTTTCCGTTTAAACCAGAATCCTGGTCTGTTACACTGATTAAAGACACAACGTTTCCAGGTTTGGAGTCTTCTAACACTACCTTTGAGAGAGATGTTACAACAATTTTTGGTTTGTTGTCGTTTTCATCCAGCACTTTGATGATCACCCTGCAGTCTGTACTCATTGGAGGTTGTCCTTTGTCCGTGGCTTGGACGTCCAACTTATAAACGTCAGCCTTCTCGAAGTCAATTTCCCCCTTTACTCGAATCTCGCCAGTAGCTTTGTCTAATCCAAATATCTCATGCAGTTTGGGATCAAGTTCGCTGCCAAAAAAATATTCAATATCCCCATTTACACCTTCATCCAGATCAGTTGCGCTGACCGTAATAACACTGGTATCCAGACCCACGTTTTCAGGTAATGATACAGAATACACTTCTTGGCTAAATGTGGGATGATTGTCATTTGAATCGAGAACTGTTACTGTGATATTTAGGGTCCCCGATCTTGGAGGATTTCCTCCGTCAACAGCTGTCAGAATGAGTTTGTGCTCGTGGTTTTTCTCCCGATCAAGGGATTTCTGCAACACTAAAAATGGTATCTTGTCCTCTCCTCTCTCTCGAATTTGTACGGTAAAAAAGTCGTTTTGATTTAATTTATATAGACGTACTGCATTTAATTCGACATCTGGATCGTGAGCAGTTGGCATCTGGATACGTCTGCCTGGGACAGTTGATTCTGAAATTTCTAATATTTTTTCTTCCTCTTGGAAGCTGGGTGAATGATCATTTATGTCCATTATTTCAACTCTGACATAATGTATTTCCATAGGGTTTTCAGCAACCAGCTTTAGATTAATCAAACATGGAGAACTGCTTTCACAGATGTTCTCTCTATCGATATTCTTACGCACGAGCAAGACACCATTGTTCTGGTTAACTTCAAACTGCACATCATCATTTTCAGACACGATACGAAACAGTCTTTCTCCCAGCAAACTGACATCCAAACCAAGGTCTTTGGCGATATTTCCGACAACAGCTCCCACTTTGACCTCCTCAAGAACTGAATATTTTATCTGGGCTGAAATTTGCTCCACGTTGAAAAGAATCACGGTTAAACTGAGAACTACCCACCACGGCTGTACTCGTCCTCTTTGTCCTTTTGTTCCAAACATTTCGGTTAAATAATTGTATGATATATCCACTCACAGGTCCTTAAAAAAATTAGATGCCCCGTACTACAATATGAGCATTCCGAAATCGAACTCAGTGTTTTTCCTCGTCCGTGCTGTAATGACTGCAACAACTATTTCTGAGGATGCTGCCGTCTCCTCTGTTAGCTCGAATGAAAAAACTAAATGGAATGGGCAGGGCCACTGTAATACAATTGAAGCTGATATGACACTGACACCTTGTGGACTGAACACATTAAGGGGTTTCGAAGAAATTAATATTCGATCTCAAACACAGTATTGGTTTTGCTGAACAGGCTTTCCGCGTATATAGATATACGTATATACTTATATGTACATATCTTACATAGGCCAATTTGATATTTCAAATTGTATCATTTTGAAATATTAGGTTATTCTATTTCGACATATAAAAGCCTAGCATTGTTTGTAAAATGCATACAGTCTAACCATAAAAAGTGTGTTATGTACAGTTTCTGAATAATCTACCGTACACAGCGTTCATTATGGCCATCACTGATCAACCAACAATTAAATAAAACCAAAAATAGTACATAACACATTTGCTTATTAATAAACTCATATTATATGGTGTGTTGTTAAACCATGACAAAAATTATTTTAGAACCAATTAGTCCAATTTTAAACCTATAAACTCAATTGAAGGTAATAAAGAGTAATGACTGCCAGCACCATGGACAGCGGTTCAACAATAAAGAAGCAAAACCAAATAAATATAAAATGTCAATCTTAGCCTGAAATATAATTCCCAAATTATTCTCAGATATATAGAACTATGAAGTGCCGCAAACTATTACTCTATATATATACAGTATAAATATATATACACATGTGTGTATGTTTGTTTTGTTTGTGTTATCACCCCAAATGGGTACCAGTTAAAGCTGAAAACCATCTTACCTCTGTAGATGTCTGTCTCCTGTCAGGCAGCACCAGTGTATTAGCATGGCTGCCAGGTACTAT